TAGCCTAACAATCAGCAGACCTGAGACAGGGAGTCCCAGGCAGCAAGCTGGTTTGGGAGGTGCTCCCAGGAATCCCGGGCAGGTGAGTTGGGGAGGGACAGAGGAAGAGGGAGTCAGCCAACAAAGCCTTCCCTGTTAAAGCATCACTACAGGCAGCTGGAGCTCAGGAACCACTCCTGCTGGGAACTCTGGGAAACAAGGAAGACCTCAGAATTTTTCTGTGTGAGGAGAGAGGGAGTTGGGATATTTATCCACCAGCTCCAGTCAATCACAGCCGGAGTGGCTGTTTGGATTGTAAATTTGAAAGCTTCATATTTTTCTGCTGCTTCACCAGCCCCCACAAATAGGCAGTGAGCACCCCACCCAGGTGATCTGGTGTGCCAGTGTGACCAGGCAGGCCTCTGCCATAAGTTCCCACCTTATGGCACCTTCCCTTGACCTAGTGACATTTAGACACATCAATGAAATCCTCTCACACCTTTTTGTGTGTGTATGTTTCAGTCCGACCCTTGACAAAGGCACCTGCCCCGGGCGCGCGCGCGCTCTCTCTCTCTCTGTCTCTCTGCTGCCCACCTGACTGGTTGAGTCTGCTCCTTTGTGGTTCCCTCCTAAGTGACACCTCCCCACATTTTTGGCATGCAGTCTCCCTAGGACCTGTAAGTAGGACAAATGTTTCTATCCTGCGCCTCTCCTGTCCCTTCTTGTGGCCATACCTGACTATCCATCACCTAAGAGAACACCAAACCCCGCCCCTCTGAGAGTGAGAATTCCTCAGCACTGTGGCTTGCTCTAAGTGCATAGTCCTGGGGCTGGAAAGAGCACACAGGCAAAGAGTCACCTGTGATCTCCATTGGAAAGTGGGCCAGTGGTCTCAGTATGACCCATGTCAGGAGAGCATGACTGAGGCTCTGACAGCATTTGCTACACTGGGGTTTCCACGAGGAGGCGTGTAGCCTCTCTCAGGTACATAAAACGTAGCAAAGGCAGTTAGGAAGTGGTGGCAGGCAAGCAGTTTCCTCAGCTCTTTGGACTAGAAATAACTGAAAGAGATGTGAATTATGGTAGCTCAGGGCCATTCCAGCTGAGAGAATGACTTAACCCATGTCCTATTGAGTTGGCTTTGTATGAAGGGAGGTTGTAGAGACGTTTTGAATACTGTCTCAGGTAAGATTAGCTGGGAAGTTTTGTTAGTTCTGGACTTGGAAACTGGAGAAGGCTGAGTGAAAGGAAAGAAAGATGAAGCTGGCCAAGAAAGATCTATACTTAAAAAAGAAGGTAACAGGACATGGAAAGCAAATGGTTTATTAGAAGCAAACAAAATCCACAAGTAACCCAGAAAGTCTCCTAAAAGTCCATCCTGGGTAAATACTACTAAATCCTGAAGCAGACTTATACACAAAGATGTTCTTTGCAGAATTATTTATAACAGCAAAACATTAAAGACACTGTGAAGGGCCTGATGATAGGGCGTTGGGTAAGTCAATCTTGGTTGAATGTAATGTTTTGTAGCCATTTAAATGATGCATATGAGGGATTTTGGATAACACAGGAAAACGCTTATGATACATTTAGTGAAAGAAACAGAATAAAATTGTATATACAATATGCTCTTGAGGAAGGCATTAGAACAAAGACTGGAGAGAAATAGTTTAAAATGTTCATACTGGTTGTCTCTAAGGAAAAGGTTTCTGCTGACCCGGACTTTTCTTGGTATGTATTTCCTTCTGTACTTTGCACAAGAAGTAAAAATGATGGGGGAGGGGGCTCCGTAATACTCAAAATGAGGCAGCAACCTGTTAAGAAATACTTCTTATCTGGCTCGGTGCCTGTGGCTCAAGAGGCTAAGGTGTCAGCCACATACACCTGAGCTGGTAGGTTCGAATCCAGCCTGGGCCTGCCGAACAACAATAACGGCTGCAACCAAAAAATAGCTGGGTGTTGTGGCAGGTGCCTGTAGTCCAGCTATTTGGAAGGCTGAGGTAGGAGAATCACTTGAGCCCAGGAGTTGGAGGTTGCTGTGAGCTGTGATGTCACAGCATTCTGCCTAGGGCAAGAGCTTGAGGCTCTGTCTCAAAAACAAAAAATAAACAAAAACCACCAAAACTTCTTATCAAAGAATTTCAGGGATCCCAAGACTTTTGTCCTGGGTCCTCTTGATCTGGGCCTCACTGGAGATTGATTTCTGTGGCTGGGTCACGTTGGGCGTCCTGGGCACATGTGGACTATGGCAGGAAGGTGTAAATATTAGCTCGATGTCTGTCTTAGCCTGTATCATGCAGAACTGGTGCAACGTGAAAAGCGCTGGCCAGAAAGTTGCAAAAGAAATGGAAACGCTAATTTTTATTATCTGTAATAAATGTAGAATTTATGAACTTTCTTTTGATTTGCTGGGTCATCTGTTTCTGCATGTCAATCTTGATTGCCAAGAAGATGTTTAGCAAATAAATGAAAGCCAATTAATTTTTTTTTTTTTTTGCAAAAAGCAATTTGCTTGTAGAAAAATCCAAACATAAAAATATAAGTAAAAACTGCAGTCTCTTCTTCCATCTGCTCTCCACGTCAGTGTATCTATTTAAGTAACTTTGGGGGTTTTGATTTCTTTATATCAAGTTCCATAATTCAGAGGATAAAAAGCCACTCTGGACTGGAACAGTACAGGAAGGACAGTGGTTCTCATCTAGGGGCAATTTTGCTCTGAAGGGACATTTGGCAATGTCTACAGACATTTTGGTTTATCACAACTTGGAGGGAGGGTGTTGTTGGCATCTAATGAGTCCAGGCCATAGGTACTGCTAAATGTCCTATAATGCAGGATGTCCCCACAACAGAGGCCAAGTGTCAATGATACCAAGGTTGAAACCCCCCAGTGTAACATTTAGGATTTAGGTTAAAACGTGAAAGGTCAAAGAAACTGATTTGGTTAGGCAGAGGAGGTGGTGGGAACAGAATATCCAGTGGGCATTTCAAAAAGAAGTGTTGGTCAAAGGAGAGGGAAGGATGAGAATTTATCTGCAATGAGCAGGCGGGGGCAGAGTGACCACAAGCAGAGGCGCAGCTGTTTGCCACAAGAACAAGCAACACTTGCTGTTAAATGTTGTGGCTAAATGTTCCCTTTCGATACTGTAGCACAACAGTTGACAGCCACTCAAACGCCTAAAACATTGTAGATTATCGGTTCAAAAGAACTGCCATGATTCACTGAGAGCAATGAATATTCAAATGAATAGCAAGTTACACAGACCTAAATGGCTAAAAGAGCAGGCCAAGGCATAAGACACAACCTTAAAGTTTAATGCAAAACTCTCTAAGTTTGCTGCATGGGGGGAAATAGCACCCAAGGTTGCAAAAAGAACCTGGTGGGAATCAAATGGTTCTTGTGCATTTCTAATAGGTTATAAAAGTGGGGAGAGAGAATTCAGGAAAGATGATGTCAACGTGGAGTTCCAAACGGAATATCTAGTTGCTCGAGCACACACTTATTATAGACATTTACGTTGGCCTTACCGATTTTTTTTTTTTGTCTACTGCAAACAAATCAAGAAAGTGTGGATGGATTAGAAGTAGGTGAGAATGACAATTTAGTTAACTAAAAACTATCTAAAAACAGCCCAGCTGCACTTTCTATCAAAGCACATGGAAGGAATCACAGATTCACGAGATGGCGGCGTGGGAGGGCCCTCAGACGAGATGCCATCTCATCCTTCCTCGGACGGATGAGGAGACCTCAGCTGTTTCTGAACAGCTAAGGTGTCACCCATCACAGTGCTGGGGGCAGACCTCCAATTTTGGTTCTCTTACATCCTGGGCCTCCTGTAGTCGTCAAGTCTAAATGTGTATGTGTAAATTCTGTCAAAGAAATGGGACTAAAAAGTAACAGTCAAGATTAAACTGAGCTTTTAATATACATAGTTACATCCTGGATGGTATAATGTATTGTCTTAGTTCTATTTGTAGCCTTACTAGAATCCTGAATATGTACTATTTCCCACCTAAAATGCCTGGCCCCCGGCGCTTAGGAGAAAAATTCTGGGACAGGGAACAGAAAGAATTTGGTCAGAACACGGAAATTGCCTAATGCCAGAGAGAGCCTTTTAATTGATGTAGAAATGTTTGAATTCTACCGGGAAGAAAACAGACAGTGGAGCAGGTTGGAATCTGTGCCGCTCCGTATGAAGGCCAGACCGACAGTAACCATTTGGGGAAAAGTTTGAAGAAATTTGCCTCAGTATTTTTTAGTTCAACTGACAATGTATGAAATTCACGAGCAGTGGCAAGTCTATGGGATGGAAAGTAAATTAGTGGCTGCCTAGGACAGAGGGTGGGGACAGGGATCTTATTGGGGTGATGGAAATGTGGTAATGGTTGTGCCCCTCGGTCCATTTGATGAAGAGCATCTATTGAACGGTATAGTTACAACGGGTGAGTTTTACAGTAGGTCAATTATACCACGATAAAGCGGCTTTAAAAAAATCATGGGACCTGAAGTCGGAAATCAGTCCAGTTTTTAAAATCGCTTTCCACCTTCTTAACCAGCGTGGTTGAAATCACCTGACACAGCTGTATTTCCTCTACTATCTGCCTTCAAAGCGGGCTTTGTTAAAATATCCAGGTCTTTACCAAATTGTTTAGATGAGGATAAGCATGACAATTGTGCTTCTACCTCTTAGAATTCAGTATTCCCACACAATTTCTGATTCTTAAGCTGGAAACTAGAAGAGAGTCTTGAGTTGGTGTGATTTCCAGATGCGAAAGTTGCATAGGACTGAATCCCTGATTGCCTTTCAAGATATTTAGGAAACGCATTACTTTGCTTCCTTTCCGATAATGGCTGTGCTTGCTCCCATGGAGTATAAAGTGCACTAATTACGATTTTGAGGCCTGTGTTGTGAATGCATGTTAGTTTTCTCTGCTGTGATTCATCCTCCTGGTTTTCCTGGATTGGGCAGAGGAGACTCGAGGCTGAGATCATTCAGCGGCTCTTTTACTCACAGAATACTTACAGGATAAGGCTGAATGACAGTCAGGAGTATCGATTCTTTGCAGCTTCTGTTAAGAGAGAAAAACAAACATTTATGAATCGTACAGAGCCTGGACTCTAAGCAGTGACTGTTTTCTTTCAAAATGAAATGTCTGATGCGTTGGCAAATGTTGCTTTGACTCCCAGGGCAGAGGAAATCAAACAGCTCCGAAGTGGGCTTTCAGACCACATAAAAAACCCAAATCAAGTGTTTCCCAAGTGTAACAAACTGCCCAATTGAAAGCTTCCCGGGCGGTTTGCATTGGGTGATATTATCTGAGCTGCCAAACAGCAGGGCCCTAAAATAAAATTCTGCGAGGGAGGAACGGTTTTAGAAACATCAACTCAATTGGTCTCTACATTTTCCACTGCTCGCAAAATTGATTCTCCCCTTCTGACTTTCCAAATTTCGCCTCCTTTTCTTTGTTGCTTAAAAATTTCTCTGTTGTTTTCTGTGAAGGCAAGAGATTTTTTAAAATCCTCTCCATTTGTGGAACATCATTATCTTCTTAGGACCAGGATCGCCAAAGAAAAATGTCACTGTAGGTTTCTCGTGTAAAAACAGCATCCCGGCAAACATCACTTCCCTACGCTATGTGGCTCAGGGAGCACCTGGTAATAAATAATGCTCAGGACCCTGGGCTGATAAATACATTTCAGACACGCACTGATTGGAAATATTGCTCACAACAGGGAACACTTCAGAGCTAAAAGCAGAACAATGTAGTATAATGGTTTATTTCATTTCCTCCAAGTAACCAAAACCTTTCAAAGGACTCCTACCCTTGTGGGAAAATCATATTATGGGTTATAATAGCTTTTCCTCCTTCCTTTCTTTGTTCCTTTTTTTTTTTTTTGAAATCATGAGTAGGAGAAAGGTCAGTTGCCATTTTGTGGAAGACTAGCTGACTTTTTCGACTTTAGGTTGTCATTAATGACCTGCTTTTGTGATTGATTTCTCTAATGAGTAAGGTGAAGGGGGTCTGCTACGAGGGTTGCTCCCTTGAAGAAGCCACTACAATTGCGTTTCTAGAATGTACTAATTTGTGGCTGCCCTACTTGCTCTGGCTGGGCTGGACCGGCCTGTGTGGCAGGGAAAGAGAAAACAGGGCAGGAGAGAAGGACACGCAGAGAGGACAGGAGAGGTGGACTACACCTGTGACTCCATGAAGACGCAGAACACTTGAGGTGATGGTGCTGCTGCAGGCAGGAGGGTGGCACACAGGAGCCACAAGTCCCCCACCCACAGGGGAAAGAGTCAGCCTTAATTATCTTTCATCGCTAGAGGCAACCAAAGCTGGATTATATTGGTGCCAATCGAGTGAGATCTTCCCTTATCGCTCCTTTCAATCCGGAAGGAGCTAACGTTCAAGCAGAATGCTGGGGCAATTAGAGAAAGGATGGGTAATGTCCCATCACCTACTGCAGGCTTCCCAGGCCCGAAAGGGGCAAGGGAGAAGTCTGTGGAGTTGGGAGTTTTGACACTTTTACGGTAACATTTTAACTGTGAATTACAAATTGCGGGGATCACAAGTATACAAGTGACTGGAGAATTTTTCTGAACCTGTTTGGGTATTTATGGGACCTGCCTGAGATTTTGTCGAGGGCTAAGGAAGAACTGGCTCTGGGGAGCTGTTCTCAAGGGGCAATGGGAAAAGAACATAGTCACCTTATGACTGCATCTCTGACAGCTGCTTGCTACATTGATTCCCAGTTTCTCTTACTTTCAACGGACTTGAATGGATCAGACTTTTTGAGTTCGAACAATCATTGACTAAGACAGAGAGGAATAGAGCCTTAAGAAGAGATAACAAAAAGGTCAACACAAGAATGGGGGACGAGTATCAGAGCAAGAACATGAGGTAGCGGGGAGGGTGGGAGAATGGGCAGGACCCCATAAGGCTGTGTGACAAATACTACATTTCTCTAGTGCAATGCTCAGTGGCATAACTATTTGTTCACTTATGGAAAGTGAACCATATTTTATTGTTTAGGTGGTTTCATCCCTACTAAAAGGGAGAGAAATACACAAAACTACAAATAAAAGGGGACAACTATCACTGGGTTCCATCATATATTCTGTCTGCTACACTAATAAAGAGAGACTGATGACCTAGTTATCTCTAAGTATCTCAAAAGTCATTTCTACCCATCATGTCCCCAACACGGAATATTATTTTTCTGTCAAGAACTTGAGGAAGAACAAAACAAAACAAAACAAAAAAAGAACTTGAGGAAGAAGCATTGCTCAGCACACCTTGTTAATTTGAAAATAGGAACTAATTTTCAAAATATGTCCGTGATCCTTTTTTTTTTTTTGCAGTTTTTGGCCAGGGCTGGGTTTGAACCCACCACCTCCAGCATATGGGGCCGGCGCCCTACGCCTTTGAGCCACAGGTGCCACCTATGTCCATTATCTTTGAAGTCCTCTGTCTTGTGGTAGTGCTCTGTAAATTTCAAGAAACATACCCTAGATTAACTTTTTTTTTTTTTTTTGAGACAGAATATCACTCATTTGCCCATGCTAGAGTGCCATGGGGTCAGCCTAGCTCACAGCAACCTCAAACTCCTGGGCTCAAGCAGTCCTCCTGCCTCAGCCTCCTGAGTAGCTGAGACCACAGGCACCACCATGACACCTGGCTAATAACCTAGGCTAACATTAATCTTACTGTTTAATGAATAAATGAAGTTATCGGAATTTTAATAAAATATTCCAATATGTTATTTATCTTCAAGACTGGAGACATGCTTCTCTTCTGCTTTTCCCCCCTCATTATACTTATTTTATTATAATCTGCAAGATAAGGAAAATTAAATCCACAATGTTTTTGCTCCCTTAGAATTATTAACCCTAAGATCCTAAGGAGGAAAAAAAAAAGATCTAAGCCATTTTCAAGCAGCCTTATTAGAATGATTAGAATCAAGAACAAAAGATGCCATATCTCAGTATTCAGCTAACATCTTTTTAGAAAGACCTAAAACAGCTAGAGATCTTTAAAAATAGAAGCATATTTAGAAAAGAATGAGTTCAAAATAAATTCCATGCAAATTTTCTGCTTTTGAAGACTAATTTCAAATTGCAGTACCAATATTTTTTAACTGGTTGAGTTTGTTAAAAACATCATTTTAATCCCTGAATCACAGGCTGATCTCTGAGGGATAACGTAGTCTAAACTAGTTCTGTCAAATTTGCCTTCAATTCCTCTCTTTGTAATTCTTTGACAAAAGTCTCTTCTTGTCCTTTTTATAAAAAGAAAAATTTTCTTTTTTTTTGCCGTTTTTGGCTGGGGCCGGGATTGAACCCGCCACCTCCAGTATATGGGGCTGGTGCCCTACTCCTTGAGCCACAGGTGCTGCCCAGAAAAATTTTTTTTAAGACAGGGTCTCGCCATGTTGCCCAGGCTGGCCTTGAACTTCTAGGTTCAAGAAGTCCTCCCATCTCAGCCTCCCTAGTATGTCACCAGACCTGGGTCTTATTTCTTTTGGGGGAGAGTCCCTTGAAACATGTCTGAGAGACTCAGCATCCGTGGTTGTAGGATGCACTTAAGCATCACATCCATTTTATAATTATTCTATTGCAGTCAGCAAAGCTATATGAGTACCCCAGATCTGAAGGAGGTGGTGTCTCAGGGTTCAAATCCCTCTGAACAACGAAGCTAAAGCTGGTCTTCTCTATTTCTCACGGAGGCATAGTTTAGCACCTTTCTTTAACTGCTTTTCTCATTTTATATTTACACCATTTTAAAATTGCAATACATAATCATATTGACATGTGCTATTGTATATTTCCCTTCTAGACCAAATGGATAGATTGAATCAATTCAGAGATCGATACTAATTTAACAGAGTTATGAAGGGCATTGAGATTTCTCAGAGACGGGGAAAACAAACAAACAAAAAATCAAATAATGAAAATACATAGGAGGGTATTTTATGTCAAAATTCAAGAGTCTTGCTTTCAACACATTAAGTCCAAACAAGTTAAACTACATGATTTGAAACTTCAAAAGTGGAAGTAAGTAATCAATCTGTGAAGGCTGAAAAGTTAGGCTTTTGAATGGCAAATGAAGAAGTAAATTAGGGCTGTATATGAAAGAATTTTGTAAACCATAAAATGATATTCTAACTTCAACTCCGTGGATTGATGTGCAGCATTTTTATTTGGAAAGAAAGGGGTAAGGCCCGGTGAAAGGGCATTGAACTCTCGCTTCTAAGGTAAACACATGCACACAGGACTCTTTCTTCTTGCACTTCAGAGTTCTGAATAGAGATTAAAAACTACTCTTTTCTGCAGGTTAGTGCATCTATCCCAGCCCTTAAATTCTCTGCTTGTGGGCAGCTACTGTGGATGGGAGTAAGAACTGACTAGCAGCAATTCTCCAATGATTCATGACTCAGAAGGGCCTTTCCTCAATCCTAGGGTACTTTGCAACAAAACCACTTCATTGACTTCCATTTTCTCTTCCCATCTGAACTTGGAGATGTAAAAAGAACACTAAGATTTTTCTGATTTGATAACCAGCCATAATGTAGTGTCAGCCTAGTTGGTTGTTTGCAAAACTGAAGGGAAGCAGCTTTTTCAGAAAAGTTGTCACAAGACTACATTTGGAATGGGGGTTTAATGCTTCATCTAGTTGACCTTTGCCAACGCTCTGAATAGAGATTATAATTATCCACTGAATCAATCCCTAACAGTACTGAAGCCATTAGCTGCAGGGAATGGAAATGTCCAGATGACCAAGCATTCAGAAAAGGTCAACATATTATGGTTAAGTGTACTCTTGTCACAGACTATATGAAGCATTTACACTTTGCCCATTGCTGATGAAGCTTACAAAGAAGAGGAAAGGGCTAATTTGTTGTCTCTAAATTATGCTCAGGGGGTGTTATGGAAGAAAAGAGGCATAATGAAGCCATCAGGGTCATCAGGGCAACAGAGAGATAAAGAACTTGTCCTGTAACACTGGCTTAGCTTCTACCAATTCTATGGACAATGTCTCTCCTGCTACCATTTTACTCTTGAGTGAGG